TTTTAGTCCCCAGTCCCCTAATCATCCTGGTTGCTCTTCTCTGTACTTTTTCTAGAGTCTCAACATCTTTTTTATAATGTGGTAAACAAAATTGGATGCAGTACAGAGGTGGTATTCAACTGGTTCACACGGGTTCTGGAGAACCTGTAGCAATAATTAGGCATGGGTCGCGGAACTGTTAGTAACTTCTGGCTAGCCACGCCCCTGAACCAGTTCTCCAATCGCTGGTCACTCAGTTGCCCCACCCACCTGATGCTCGCTCAAGCCGCTTGCCTGCCCGTTGTTCACCCCACCCAGTCACTCCTCCCTTCCTTGTGGCATGCTGGGCCCTCGTGACTTGTCTAACCTGACTTCCCCACGTTGTGCCTGCACCCCAACTGAGCAGACCTGATCTGCCTGCCCTGCTCACAGGTAAGCCTGTGAGTTGCACTAGGCCTTTGCCCACTGCACAGGGCCTTTCTGTGCCGGGCTAGTCCAGAGGGCGGGGGGGCAGCGGTGGTGGCAGCGCAGCTATTGGAAGCAGCCCCAGGATTTCCTGGCCTCCCTTTAGGGGCGCGTCCGCTGCCCTTCCAGCCCAACAGAGCAGGGAAAGTGGAGGAAAAGTGAAAGGAAAGCTCAGCAGAGCAGGGAAAGTGGAGGAAAAGCAAAGGGGAAGGTTTTGCTTTTCCTCTCCCTTTCGGGGCGCGTCCTCCACCCTCCTAGCCCAGCAGAGCAGGGAAAGCAGAGGAAAAGTGAAGGGAAAGGTTTTGCTTTTCCCCTCTCTTTTGTGATGCATCCGCTGCCCTCCCAGCCCAGCAGAGCAGGGGAAGCGGAGGAAGAGCGAAGGGAAAGGTTTTGCTTTCTCCCTCCCTTTCAGGGCACGTCCGCCACCCTCCCAGCCCAGCAGAGCAGGGAAAGCAGAGGAAAAGCAAAGGGAAAGCCTTTGCTTTCCCCCTCCCTTTCGGGGTGCACCCACCTGCCACCACCACCGCCCGTGTGCTTCAAAAGGGAGGACGATGGATGTTCTGGGGCTGCTGCTTTCTTCATTGTCCTGCTGCTCGCTGCACATAAGTTCTTCCCAGAAAAGATGTGTGTGAGATAGAGACAAGGAAGGGAAGGAAGGAAGAAAGGGAGGGAGGGAGGGAGGGCAAGAAGGAAAGAGCAAGAAAGGAAGAAAGAGCAAGAAAGAAAGAAGAAGGGAGAGAAAGAAATAAAGAGGAAAAAAAGAGAAAGAAAAATAGGAAGAAAGAAAGAAAAAAAGAGGAAGGAAGGGCAAGAAGGAAAGATCAAGAAAAAAAGAGGGGAGAGAAAGAGAGAAAAAAGAGAAAGGGGAGAAAGAAAGAGAGAGAGAAAGAAAAAAAGAAGGAGGGGGAGAGAGAATATTCTGTGCTATTATTTTAAATTGTTCCATTATTTATCATATATTAATATTTTGCACTGTCCCTACACCTAAAGTGATTTTACTGCCTTTCTTTTGCTCAGGTATTTTTCAGGATTTACATGTCAATAGTCCAGAGCATAAATACAGGTGCATTTAACAGAGTTGAAAGGGACTATGGAGGTCCTCTAGTCCAGCCCCCTGCTCAGATAGATAATAAAGTCAAAAAAAGGTGAATATTTTTACAGAACTATAGATACATTGAGGCTGGGTGTGACAAAGAATGGCTTGGAGGGGAGGGGCCACGTGAGGTACCCCTTGACGTGAGTAACATTGAGTTGGCCACAGCCAACCAGTCACATGGCCACCTAGTCACATGACTATCCTAGTCACATGGCCACCAAGCCACGCCCACCCAGTCATGTGACCCCCCAAGCCACGCCCACCAAATAAGCCATGCCCACAGAACCAGTAGTAAAAACATTTGAATCCCACCACTGATGCAGTACTTTAGGTATGGTATGGTCTTACTAAGGCTTTATAGAGTGGTATTAGTATCTCCCTTGATTTACTTGTTATTGTTCTAAGAAATTGGCAACTGATGTTCTTACAAATATTAACAATTAAGCATATAAATTTAACACAATCTTATCTATATCAATTCATATTAATTCTACTCTGTAGACAAAAATTTGTTATGGCAGTAACATATTTGAACGTATTATTTCCCTTTTTCTAAAAAAAAGCAATAAATTTAGTATGCTTTAAAATAGGAGATTGTAATTATTTTAAAAAGAAGAAACTATATTGTGTGTGTAAACACATACATACAATACACACAGACATCCACACACTTATTTATGTAGTTTTAGTATGTGAAATAATATGACTAATATTATTTGATAATAATATATGCTGATATAATATAAAATAAAACCATATCATCAAAATTGAGTACTTCATTAATAGATCACTAAAATCCTTATGTTTAAACAAAAACTGAAATTGACATACAGATTTTTATGACAGATAAAAAATGTGGTATTTGCATTCTTTATGCCATATTGCTAACAATGTATCTAACATAACTATGAACATTATATTAACTTAGATCAAGTTATTTAAAGCACACAGTGAGACATCTGTGGTCCTCTTCGTGCTAGTGATAATGTTGTTAAAATGATATATATGCACATATACATATACACACATATGTGCATATGTCTACACACACACACACACACACACACACACAGCTTTTAAACAGGTATGGCATAAATTGTATTGCAAGCTGAAAATAGAGGATTTTGAACAAAATTTACGATATTTAATAACCTTAAATAAATTATTTTAACTATTTTTATAATATGTTCAGTATAAAGAAACATCTATGGTTCTTATTATACAATTAATGTAAAACATATACATATTAATGCAATGATTTGAAATATTTCTTTAATATATCTAGAGTACAGTATCTATGGATTCCCAAGGTACTGTTAAAGCCTCATTACATTCAGATACTGGAATTTTAAAGATGAAAAAAAGATTAAATGAAGATACATTACAAAGTTCACAAATCAGACTAATAGAGAATCCATTATTTTATATATATTTACAACCAGCAAAACAAACATCCTGTGAATTCTGAATATATACTATATCTCTCCATATCTCAGTGTCAAGGAGGCAAGTTCTCTTTCATTTTTCAGCTGTATAGTCTGATCATTATCGACTAAGGCCCAAAACAGAAAAATGGAACCAATCATATACCACCATTGGTTTTGATTTTTTTCCTTCTAACATTGATAGGATAATCATAAAATATATTATAGTATGTGAAATGGTTTACATATATTGTAAGATAGAAATAGAGACTGGCATACTTGCTATAAAACAAATCACTTTAATCACTAAATATTAAAATAATATTTATTTATTTGGTCTATATTTATTTTATGGCTTTGCCCTCCACTTCTTTGGAGTGTGGTTTCTAATATTGATTATCAACATGCATACATGCACATATGTCACAATCACAATTTATTATAAACTTGGGTAAAAATAGCGTTGTACAGATTTTTCTTGTGTTTGTATTTTTTTTACCCCTAACTAATATTCTGTTGCTGAAGGTTATATAGTGTTATCTTACTTTTAAATGTGGTACATCAGGTACTTAAAAGCCAATGGATGGTAAGCAAAATGATTCAGCCTTTTAAATTAATTTGTTAGATGGGGTTACAGTGAAAGATAAAGAAGACCACGCTAATAACAATAAGTAGAAAACCCACCTTAAATTGACAATGAAGATATCAAAGTGGTGGATAGCCTTTCGGGATCAACCATCCACAGCAAAGGAACAAGCAGTTAGCAAATATGCCACAAACTAGCACTTGATAGAGTAGCTGTGAAGGCCTCGGAAAATATATTCAAATGCAACAGAAGATGATTAGGAGCCTGGAGACTAAAATGGGAATGGTTGCAGGAATTGGGTATGTCTAGTCTAGTGAAAAGAAGGACTAAGGATGACATGATAGCAGGGTTCCAATATTTGAGGGCTGCTCACAGAGCACCAAGGACCCTCTTTTCAACCCTGAGCTACAAATAATCTTCTTTCCTAATATCTTATTTTTTAAAACGTCAAGATAAATACTTAGCATCAAAAAAAGGGGGGGAACCATCTGGAAATACACTGTTTAGAGGAAGATACATGGATTCCTTGACTTACGACCACAATTGAGCCCATTCCGAGATACATTTATTGAGTTTTTCCCGGTTTTACAATCTTTTTTGCCATACTTCTTAAGTAAATCACTGCAGTTGTTAAGCTAGTAACATGGTTTTAAGTGAATCTAGCTCTCCATTGACTTTGCTTGTCAGAAGGCCGCAAAAGATTATCATGTGACCCGGGGACAATGCAACCATCATAAACAAGAACCAGTTACCAAGCATCCAAATTTCAATCATGTGACCATGGGGATGCTGCAATGGTTGTAAGTGTGAAAAATGGTCATAAGTCACCTTTTCCAGAGCTGTTATAATTTCGAACAGTGAACGAATGGTAAGTGAATGGTTGCAAGTAAAGGACTACCTGTATATGGAAGACTGTGCTCCATCTATAGCTAAATGGTTGTTTGGACGCTCTAATGAAATACGACTGCTACATTTTAAAATCCAAAGTCAATAAAGCAGGATAAAAAAGATTTCAAATTCATTACATTCTACATGCTTTGTGTAAAAAAGGAAAAAATTGACAAAAAGACAAAAACTAATTAAAAGAATATGCAAAGTACATATCCAAATCCTTTTGAAGTGTAATAAAGAAAACATTCAACAGAAGCATTTTTTTCCTCCTAGATAATAAATGATAAGCAAACAGGAGGATCAAGATTAAGAAACTGCTTTATAAGAAACTATGAACAATAAGCAAATAATAGTGATATTTTAAGCTATTTTTAGGCTGCCAAAGTAATCCAGACAATCATATGAAGCAAAAAACTTTTCTCAACTTAATATGTACAATCTGATTAAACAAATACACTTCAACACAGTTATATTAAACACCCCGCAAAGTACTTTCCTAGTTTACAAATAAATTCTTCAACAATAATACACCTAAATCTTCAACATAAATGGTGCTTACCTGATATTCTTTTACATTTTCAACTGAGAAGTTGAACCAGACTCGAAAACGTGGATTACATGTGTCTGGTCTGATGAAAAGATCATATTCAAATTCAGTAATATGGTCAACACGTCCAAGGTTCCCTAGAAACATTTGGAAAACAAATTGTGAGGTTACGGTTTCCACAAAATCCGTCTATGGCAATATCATGCTTAACTCACCAAGACTTAATAAAATTGTATGCTATCCCAAATATATTAGCTAAGGGGTTCCCAACCCCCAGACCATGGCCCACTATTGGGCTGCAGCCTGTTCGAAACTGGGCCACAGGAGAAAGGGGCAAGCGTGCATGCGCAAAGCTCCATTCGCACAAATGGAGCTTCACACAAAAGCGTCCTTCACTTGCACAAGAGCACAAGTGTACCATTCACTCAAATGACCTCTGCTTGCGTGAGTGGAGCTTCACGTACAAGCGCAAGCACTGTCCACTCACATGCAAAGCTCCATTTGTGTGAATGGAATAGAATTGTGCGCACAAAAATGCACCTGCTACTCATATCCTCCCTCGCACCAGGCAGCCAAGCTGGAAAGGTTGGGGACCATTGTACTAGCTGACCATATAAGCACATTTCATTTTCTAAAATATACAGTAAAGTGTTTCTCATTTTAGGGCAGTAATTCCCTTCATCACTATAGCTGTCCAGCAGTTTTGTATTTGAAACAGAAAGGCATTTCCTGTGGTTTCTTTAGCAGAAAAGTGCTGATCAGAAGTTGTTACTGGTTCATTTTTTTAACAAAGGACATTCTTTCATAAATAAATATGTCATTCATAAAATAAAAGGCAAGACAGGACTACTCAGACCAATGTATTCTGTATCCTTGGCTCATAACACACCAGATTTAACTGTGTAAAAAATCTTGGATGGCACAGAAAATCTGCACATTGACAAAATTTCATCAGGCAGTTGAAAAGGCCATACTGCTTGGATCCACACATATACTACGATGAAACAGTGTGGCATCCTAAGTCCTTGAGAAGAAGTCAATAGGTATGAAGGACAACAACAATTTAAAAACTGGCAGATGTGAGTTCATATAGTTCTATGTATAATAATAACAAAAAAAAAAATAAAGATGCCACATTAAGTTTTAGACTGCTTGGAAATAAATTAAAATGGGAAATGCTTTATAACCTGCTTAAGAATTGGTCCAATATTTCAATATAATGGAGATTAGGTGGAGAAAACTGACTTCAAAAGGAAAAAAAAAACAGGATGAGAAAGTAAGCAAAAAAACAGCAAACTGCCCTGTTCCATAAATCATAAGTTTACCTATGGAGCTTTCCAGTGTTAGTCAGACAAGTTTAATGATTGCACAGTTCCTTTTTTCTAAAACTTCTGATTTTATTACAATTTCCTTGGAACTCTAGTAATCCCCTTTTCATTCCTTTGCTACTTCTAGATTGATCTTCTGTTAAACAGTTATCCAATGTCATATATAGAATGTTATGAATGGGAGAGAAAGTCAACTAATAATTCTCTATAAAGGTAGTCCTTGAGTTACAATTATTCATTTAATGACCCATTGAAAGTTAAAACACAGCTTTAAAAAGTGACATCAATTTTCACACTTACAACTATTGCAGCTTCCCCATGGTCATTTGATCAAATTGGGGCAGTTAGCAACTGGCGTGTATTTATGACGGTTGCACTGTTCCGGGATCATGTGATTACTATTTGTAATCTTCCCGTCTGGCTTAAGCAAAGTCAATGGGGGAAGCCAGATTTGCTTAACGACCATATGATTCACTTAATATCTGCAATGATTTCAATTATATAATACTGTTTTTCCTCTTTCGTAGCAATAATACAGCATTCAAAAAATGGGGAATCTACAGAATATGTTCAGTCTGAAATATTGTAAGCATTAAATGCTCTATTCTGAATTTGAAATGGGTTGTTCTGATCAATACAGAAGTCCCTTTTAAGCTCAAACAAGGCCAATTTCAACGTTGAAATGCTTTTAAAATAGTCAGTAGCAGAAATGTTTTAAATTCAAATGGATTGTACAACCCTAGTCAAAGTTGATTATGGCAGTTTTAAAATGATTTTTAAAAGAAACACTCTTCAGCTTATACTGGGATTTAAATTTTTGTTTTCATTTGGACTTCCTGTTGGGTGCTGTGTCAGTGCAGAGCTGAGGAGCGGATCGCTGCTCTGAAAGATTCCGATTTTCGCTAGTTGGTGGCTTTCTGGAGCGTTGGACCCCGGAGGGATAGGCAAAAGAAAGGGGAAGATATGGAGGTCTTGGGGAGATGCTGCAATCCTGGAGACTGGAAGAAGAATCCCCTAAAAACCAACAATAGAAGAGGGAGATCATGACAACAGTGATGATCGGAACCAGAGAAGCAGCAGCCCAGCCGATTAAAAGAAGCGAAAGGAGGGAAACAGTAGGCTAAGCACTGGAAAGGCGTATTTAAAGAAGATTTTCAGAATATTGGTGTATACTGTAAAGGAAGCTCCGAACTGAGTGGTGTGGTGAAGCAGCGGAGTTTTTGACAGGAGCGTTGACGGAAACAACAGCAGAGATTTATGCTGACTAATGGAATCATGAAACCTGAGGAAATGAAGGGTGAGATAACAACATTTGCTTTGCGAGTGGAGGAGTGAATTATAGAACCTTACTGTCCATTTATTTGAGAAGTGAGGAAAGAAAGAAAAAGAAGTGAAAGTGATTAAGTGGTATAGGAAAACGAAAGGACAATTAAGAGTGTAAAACTTGGGAATGAACTTTTGACTCATTGAAAGATTGGAAGAAAGGACTAGGGAAAAGAAAGTTTAATTTGATAAATATTAATAGACAATCCTGACAACAAAATAAGAAAGATTTATTTAAGGTTCATAAGTGAAACTGTGACTGTAAGGGAATAAAAGAACAAAAGAGCAACTAGAAAATACACAAACGGAGGAAGTGACTATGCAACTTGGAACGAGGACATTTTGAATTAAGAGTTGCTGTAAGACAATTAACAAAAAAAATAATCTCTGGATCTCATCTAATATATATTGGTAAGATGCAAACCTATTTAAGTGACATTGGTAGAAAACTAATTTGATAGAGGTAAATATACTAGAAATTTCTATACAGAATATTGCTTACTACTGATTGAACTTTTTGGATTAATTGAATAATTGTTGGAAAGTGATTCTATAAGCATATGAATTAGATGGTCAAAGAATAATTATATAGTATTATTATTTTCATCTTATTGTTTTACTGATAAATTATACCAATCAATTTTTGTTTAAAAGTACTATATAAGAAACCTAAGGGGGAAAAAAAATTAGACTTACTTACTTTGATTAAATATATATCCTTAAGGAAATAGATAAATTCATATATTTAAATATATTAATGAGCTGGGTGCTTTAACTATTTACATTAATTACGTGATTATATAGGTTTGGTGTTTTCTTGTTAAGCATACTGGTATCTATTTACTTGTATTTATAGTGGATTAACTAAATATATATTGGATTAACATCTAACTCTCTAAACCTTAGAATATTTAACCAGTTAAGAAATAGAAATAAGATCTGTCTGGGACCATCTATAATAGAAAACTCTTAGTTAACAATATATGTATAAATACATATACTGTATTTAAAGGAGAAGACAATATAACTCTACTAGGATAGTTGATGGTGGATTGGAGAGAGCTTCTACAAATATGGCAACAAAATGGCAACAATAACTACAAATGTAAAATCAGGGAAGAAACCTACAACAGCGACATTTTCACCTCTGGGACAGAGATCGATTGACGCAATGTTACTGGCGGAAAAGACAAGTTCTGCCAAAAGTTTGCAGGCAGTACAGTCAACACTTGCCATGATTCAGGAAATGACGATAAAAACCCATGAACTGATAGCGAGGAATCACGACAACATGAAATTAGAAAAGAGAACGGAAATAGTGAAGAACAAGATACAAAATTTGGATAGCAAAATCGGAAAGATGCAGGAGACAATGACAAAAAATGAACAAAAATTAAACACAGTAAGGCAAGAACTGACGTGGTAGAAAAGAGGTTAGAGGAATTGGAACAAAATTGGAAAGTCTTATATTGTGAACTTCAGGATTCCGTGGTGCATATAGAATTAGAAAAGGCATCATTTTATTTGAGATTTCAGAATGTTGTTGAAGATAAAAAGGAAGATTTACATGAAATAATGGCAAATTTGATAGCAACAGCCCTACAGAAAGACAAACAGGAAATTGAGAATGACATCGATGACATCTACAGAGTATATACCCATTACATCCGAAGACACAGACTACCCTGAGAAATCCACATCAGATTCGCAAGAAAGACAATATGAGATAAGCTATACAGCAAGGCCAGAGACGAGCCACTGATATATAAAGATCATGAAATGGTAACGTTGAAGCAAATACCTAGGAGAGTTAGGGAGCAAAGAAGAGGTTACCAGTTTTCGTCATATCAGTTAATTAAGAATGGTATATCATTCAGATGGCTCACCCCAGAAGGGCTCCCTGCATGGCAGGATAAAAAATATAAAATTGATACAATAGAGAAAGCGCATCAATTTCGCGAATAATATCTGGGACCTGAGGAAGAACGTGAAAGTGGAGAAGATTTAAATACAAGAAGTCAGGAAGAACAACTCTCGAAAGTGAAAGAACTTGCACCACAGTCAGAATTTCAGAAACTTAGAGAAGATGAGGACAACAGACCAAGTACAAGAGAACCCAGAACAAGGAAAGAAACAAAAAACACCCTACACAGACAGTAACACGAACAGAGAAATCACCTTATTTTCAGTTAATATCAATGGTTTAAACTCAAGATTAAATAGAAAACAGTCATTTGAAAAACTTAAAAAACAAAATGCAGACATAACAGGTATACAAGAAGTACACATCATAGATAAACAGGCAGACCTCCTAAAGGATACTAATTTGGGGGGAAATGTATTGGGCTCTTTCAAATCAAAGGAAAAGAGGTATATATAAAAGATTGGCTGCAACACAAACAACTATACAAGGATGATGATGGAAGAATGTTATTTATAGAAATAATATTAAATCAGAAAAAGACTTTGTTAGTTACAGTATATGC